GTACGCAATCAAGTTATTCAATTTTTCCTACGTGATAAACCTAAATGCGACGTTAAAGCGTCTATGCTTGTGCAACAATGCCAAATTAATCACATGAATATTTTTCAAGAATCTTTCAAGTCTCATCCACTCATCTTAATTAATTACCGATCACTCAAATCGATAAATAACCAAGAATCCTCCCTAGTGGAGTCGCGAAATTGTAGGCGTCGTTCGAAGTGCACCTACGTTAAAGAATGTTGTGAATATGCTTGGCACTCATAGGAAGTGGGAATTGACATAATACGATTAGGGACAAGGAAAGTAGGGAGCCGCCAACAAGTTTTTAAGGAATTTGTAAACCGTTCAGGGATCATAAAAGGCAACCACGATTAAGGGACAACGATAGGCAACAACGATTGACCCGTGAAGGTTACACCCCATTCATAATCCATGAGATTACTAACTCCATATGGTTCGGAACCATGAAAGGAGGATCGGGGATGATGGTATGAAGTGAGTCATGGAGTCACATTCGCCCGTATTGGCCTGTACTCGATTCTTATAGTGAAAAGCATTCCTGCGATCTCAAAGGCATACAAACTAAATATTCAATTTGCTCCAAACTATTATTAAGCTAAATTGGTTTAATATTAATGCAACATATAATTCTAAAATATTAGTGATCACTTGATTAAACAACAAGATTAAAAAGGAATCTAAACCGGTTGTCCAAATTATCTTATTAGGCGTGAATTTCAATTACATATTCCTTTTAACATGTAATATGGTGATCATAATAACACTAGAATAAACATTAATATTGGAAGCAATTCAACAATAATAACGTTAGTCAAATCGAATAATAAATTAACCTAATCATGATACTAGCAATATTAAAATAAAATAAGAGTAATTAAATTAATTAATTACTCACATTCTGCTTATTCCTTTAAATTGCTACATCATGAATAAACTGTTAGTAACTCAATAAAAAAAATATAAAGCAAATGAAAATTAAATTAAATAAATATAGATTTGATTTGGTCCAAACCCTTAATTTATTTATACCTTTCACGCCTTGGTTTAAGGGCAGAACCTCGGGTTTAGTATAGACTCCTTGGAGTGCTTAAGGGAAGAATGGTGGGATTAGGAATATAGGTTTAAGGCTTAGAATATGGGAGAGAGAGAAGAGAATGATTTTTGGTGTAAAAGAGAGAAAGAGAGAAGGATTTTATGCCCCGAACTGCAGAAAGGGGGGTCCTATTTATAGGGAAAATTGAGTAGAAGGAACACACGGGACCCTAAACAGATAAAAACCCTAAAAAATAACACCGCGACACGGCGAAGAACACTGTGACACGATGCCAGGCACCGTCAGACGGGGCACACTCCTGTGACACGGTGGAAAATAGTGCGACGCGGGAAATAATTAAGGTACGAGAGAGAAAACGCGTGAAGGGTTTATGCGGAAAGGACACGGAGATGCCCCATGTCACAGCACAGGCACCGTGACACGACATTGTCCACCGTGGCACAGTGCAGTATGCCGTGTCACGGTGTGAAAAAGCACGCGTAAATTACACGAAATATCCCCGTGTCACAGAATGGGCACCGTGTCACGGGAAATTGCACCGTGACGCGGTGCAAAATCCCGTGACACGGTGGATTAAATGTGCAGAATTACACAAAAAGGGCACCGTGTCACGGCAATAAGCCCCGTGACACGTCAGCATTTGCCGCGTCACGGCGTTTTAGCTGTTGCGCGGTAATTTCAGTTTTTTTACCTGTTTTTAAAATAATCATAACTTTTGATCCGTAACTTGGAATAAGGAATAAAATATATCATTGGAAATCTTATCAAGTTTGATTTCCAACCCAATTAGAATAAGGTCAAAATGATTTGTAGATTTTATGATATGGCTGTTTTAGTGGAAGGGTGTCGGTTTTAGGCCGAGTTTAGTGTTTTGCTCATATCTTTTTTGTTATAGCTCGGAATTGGGCTTATGATATATGGTTGGAAAGATTATTTAAAGTCCTATACAACCAAATAATAATTAGATCAAAATTATATAGCCATAAAATCAGTTTCTCTCGGTTTTGCGATGTGGACACGAAAAGTGAAAAATAGGTTATGGTTTAGGGAAATGAGCTAGAAATTGGATTGGTTCATGAAATATATTGGATAGAACATGGATTTGAGCACTGCAAAGATTAAATACTCAACTCGACCAATAAGGCGGTGAAAGGTGTTCATCATCGGGTTTGGTTTTGGGGAGACATTTTTAGGTGTATACACTATCGCGAGTGCGAAGCTTTGTAAGCTTTCAAGTAAGAGCTCGAGTCGAGGGAAGCACGCGTTAAGGGTATATCCGCCTTTCTCTCTCAGTTGTTAATTAATTATGTTTTTGATTAATATACACGTTTTAGTTGCTTTAATTTGTGTGCGGGTCATGGGATGGGGTTTAGTTCCACGTGATGTTGGACATCACAAAACCCAACAGGTTGACCATCCTTTTCCCCCTTATCTCCCGTTGGCCACCATCACCCCTTTCATTAATTTGGTTCTTATCTACTTAAACATGCTCAAATCAAGTCCAAAACAATTGCAATTTGCTTCTAAATCACCTTAGAATCACATACATACATACATAATCAAAACCAAACACAAGTATCAATTACAAGCAAGATCCACAAAATTAAAAATCCCCAAATCGATTTCATAGGGTTTTTCAAAATCAAGGAGGCGATTGTCGTCATGGTTATTAGGGGGAAAGGGAGGGTCGTTCGGCGGTGGAGGAGGACGCCAGGGGTGGGGGTATCTGGACAGCGGGTCCGGTGATTGGTTATATATATATTAAACCTAATCACATCATATCACTAATATATTAAGCCAATCTCGCAGCCAGGCCACGAGACAACGACACTTGGTATTCTTATTTTTCGCCAAGTGTCGCGCCACGTAGACGAAAAGTAGGTATTATTATGACACATATGATAATATAAATAGCGGTTTTGGATAAATTTTTTAAAATAAAAATGTTGTATGGAGTTTAATTATCACTATACTTCTACTATTTTATATGTATAAAATTAATTATAACTTTTATTAATTATCATATAACTCGGGTTTTTTTTTATCATAAAATTTGTTTCAAAAAGTTCTTTCAAATGAGATTCATTTAAAATATATTTAATTTTGTTAAAAAAATAATAGAAAATCAGTAAAAATAATTGTGGTTTGGTAAAAAAAAAATTTCATTTAAGTAAAAATAATTTAAGTTTAATAACAATAATTTCAAGTCAATAATAAGTTAATAACATACACATCTATTTACAAACAAAACTACAAAAAGTACACTATTCTATAAAACAAACATTTACAAAAAATTGGATGTACAATATTGTACATCCGCTATAAAGTTATTTTAAAATGATCAAAAGTTACCTTTAGTATATATATAAGTTACCCCGATATAAATAAAAGTACTATGCTATATTGATAAAAGTTACCTAAAAAGGTCTAAAAGTTACTCTAAATTCAATTAAAGTTATCTTGATGTATATTTATATTTACTGTACATCGGATGTATACAAAACCTTTTGATTTATAAATAAGCGATGGAATATCATATGTCTAAATATCCTACATTATCAAAAGTCAAAAAGTTTATCCAAAAATTTTATCAATCATTTTAGGACAAAACTAGGTTTTTATTTATTTATTTTTTTTTTTTAGGAAAACTAGTTTTTAAATAATTTGGTGGGTTAGAGGTTAATTAGAAGAAATAAGAAAAAAAAATTAGAATCTAATTAAGTTAATTAGAGAGTGATTGATAATATAGGTATTCTCTCAAGGAAAAAAAAATGAATGTGGTGACTTTTTTTTAACCAAAAAGCTTTAAAAAGAATTTTAGTTTTATTTATTTATTTATTTATTTTTGCAAAATGGTGTTTTAAAAAGTTTTTTCTAACAAATTTTCATATGAATTAATTATTTCAAAATAAGATGAGCAAAATAGAGTACTATTAGCCATACTAGGACCTTCGAGCCGAGCCCGAATAGTGGTAGGCTCGGCTTGAGCTCGTTTGTCTCATATCAGGCTCGGCTCGAGCTCGAAGCTCGACGAGCTTTAGAAATCTAGGCTCGGTTCGAGCTCGTGACTCCATACGCGGGTTCGAAGCTCGGCTCGAGCTCGTGACTCCATACAGCCAGTTAAAGCCGATTTTTTTTCCAAAACCATTTAATCAAATAAAAATGTTGTAGACTCCAATGTTATTAATTACTACTCATAAATTCAATTTATCAAACCATATTACATACACACAAATTCCGATTAACTTTTACAATACCCTAATAATTGATTACAATTTACTTTTACATACAAGCTAAGGAGATTGATATATGCGACGATGACGTGGTGTAGTGACTGAGCGTCTGGTCTAGTGGTGACGATGAGGATGTCGGTGGAGCGGTGGTGTGTTGGTATTGAGATGGAGATGTAATGTTTTTACTGATGCAAGTAGATAAATAGAGAATTAGAGGAGAGAGTAAAGAGCTTCCATGTTAAGGAGTTAGGTTTTTTTTTTTTTAGTTTATATATGAAAGACCTAAGGTATGTGAGGCTGGGCTTTTATTTTTGGGCCGAAATAAACAAATACATATAATTAGATTTGGTTTATAGTTTGATTTTTACAGTAGATTTTATTCAGATTTTAAATATTCATACTTAAATTTAACTAAAAACAAAAAGTTTATATTTTTCCAAAATACACTACGTTTAAATTTAATCGAGCCTGTTCACGAGCTTTTGAGCCGAGCTTTGACTTGCTCGGCTCGGCTCGTTAAGGTTTCGAGCCGAACTCGAACTCGAGTCGAGCCTCGTCAAATCAAGTTTTGACCGAATCGAGCTCGAACAGTTCACGAATAGCTCAGTCTCATTATCACCCCTAAGCCATACTCCATGATTTCTAAGGCAATTTTGCCATATATTTATTGAGGGAATATGGTTTATTTATTAAATTTATCTCTTTGCTTTTAGAGATTAGGATAATTAGATTCCTCATTACGTCAATTCCTGTCAAATTTGGTATGGAAGCTTCATGTCTTGGCATCTAGCCTAACTTAATCGGTTAATCCTCTCCATTCTATGATTTCTATCTCTTTCTCTTTCCTTTGAAAATTCCTTTCACTTTACTGGTCAATGCCAGAGAATTAGATTCTTCACTGTTTTTCACATTTTTTTCTTTTCAATTCCCAGATTAATGGCTGATTAATTATCACAATTTTATGCAGGATCTTCCATCTCTTCTGAAGCCAGATCTTTGTGTTTGATGCTTTCATAATCCACTACTTCTGTGGATTATGACATCAACTTTCACATCAAATTTCAGTTTTTTTTTTTTTTTTTTTTGAATCTGTCTGGGTTGATTTTATTTTGGAAATTGGCTCCATAATTTGAAGAAACCCCTTCTAATTTTTCTGGGTCTAATAAATTTGTGAAAATGATACAGTAATTTTGCACAGATTTGTAAAACCCCCTTCTATTTTTTTTTTTTTTTTTTTTTCTGAAATGGCAACCTAATTCTTCCAAAATTTACAACCCTTTTAATTTTTCTGGATTTTTCTTTCAGAACAATGGAAGATCAGGAGTTTTCTGATGAACATTTGAATTTAGTTACAGTAGAGGGGGAAGAAGAAGAGGAATTTCGAAGTTGTTGCGGGGAAGATAGTGAAGATGAATGTTTGAGTGAAGAAAGTAGTGAAGATGAATGTTTGAGTGAAGAAGATAGGAAAAATAAATGTTTAAAGGAGGAAGAAGATAGTGAAGATGAATGTGATGATTTAACAGTAAAGATGTGTTTTAAGGGTATTTCAATTGATGGGTTTGGTGATTCTTGTAGTTCTGGATTTACTGGAATTGGTGTTGTTATTCAAGGTTCAAAAGGATTTTCTGATATAATTGTTCAGAAAAGGCTTGAATTTTATGTTGATGGTTTAGTTGCTGATTATTTGGCTTTGATGGATGGTTTGCTAGAGGTTTTTAAGAGTAGTATTAATAATATTAGACGTGTTTTCGCTACGACTGATTCTAAGACTCTCTATGGACAGGTATTTCTGTGTTCAATTTGTATCTTGTGATGTTATGGATTCATATTGTTTTTAATATTGTCGAATTTTTCTGAGTTCGGGTTTAATTGTGCTGCTGAAGTTTTTTGGTCTTAGGAACATTTTCATGCCATATAGAATCTTAGAAATGAACTGCTAGTTGAAAACTATACTGTAAATGAGAGAAGTTTGTTGTGTGTTCTGCATTGAATAAGATTGAGTTAGTTGCTTGTTCTGTGCTGATTGCTTCAATCATTCACTCAGCTAATTTGTTTATCCTTTGGTTTTAATGGTCATAGAAGTAATTTTTATTTGTTGACCCCAGCAATTGAAGTTTCACCGATGTTGGATTTCACTAAAAGCGAATTGTGTTGGTTGATAGTAATCTAAGAGTAACTGTGTTGTTCTCATTCACTCATTGCATCTCGAAAACTTGTCTCTTCGTGTATATGTGTGTTGGACATCTAGATTTTGGTTATGAATTATGATATGAAAAGTGAAGAAGAATAAAATTTAAGTATACTGGCTTTATCTAAAATTAAAATATTTTCGATTGCATAGGCTAATGATTCATGTATACTTTTATTTGGCAGAATTTTTCTTACATGTAATTGTTTAGTGCATAAATTTGTCTCTGTGTAGCTGTTGATTTGTTGTTTTGTTGCACAGATCATGCTTAAGGAGAGCCTTGATATTCCTCTCATAGTAGCATTCAGGGAGAGGGTACTTGAACTTGTGGGCCAGTTAGATGCTTTTAGTTTGAAACATGTCCCAAGTGTTGAAGTGGAGAGGCCTTTGCAACTGGCTCAGGTGGCAATTGGTTTGTTCACCTTGCATGAGGTTAGTCATGGTTCACTTCAAAATTGTTCGGTATGTTGCGATGATAAGCCATCTTCAATGATGCTCACTTTAAGATGCTCACACAAATTTTGTTCCCAATGCCTGAAGACCCATGCTAATGAAAAAGTAGAGGCTGGTCAAGTCCCCATTGGATGCCCTGAGATAAGATGCAACTATTTACTCTCGAAATCCGAATGCAAGTTATTTCTTCCAGTTATTTTCTTTGATGTTTTAGACAAAGCAATAGAAGAATTTAATGTGCTTAGTTCAGATAAAATTTACTGTCCCTATCAAAATTGTTTGGCTCTGCTTGATCCTAGTGAGGCAAGCTCCTCAGATGAATCCAATGGGTGTTGCATTGATTGTCCAGTTTGTCAGAGATCTATCTGTGTGAATTGTGGGGTTCCCTCGCATAATTCATTAACTTGTGGGGAGTATCAAGATCTTCCACTGGACGAGAGAGGTTCGTCGGATCTTTCTTTGCACTGTTTGGCACAGGATAGGGGATGGAGGCATTGCCAACAGTGCAGGAGGATGATCGATCTGGCACAAGGTTGTTACCACATGACCTGTTGGTAAGCGTTCCTCTATCTTGAATGTAATTTTACAAAATCCTATACGGCAGTTTGTTTGTTTTTATTTTTAGCTTTAGTCGACAGTACAAAGTTTACCTATTAACTGAAGGCTATTTGTATTTGGTATTTCGGAAAACATAGAATATGTCCGATTTGCTTATGAGATGATGATACTGAAGATATGCAAAAAACGTTATTGAATGTGGTTGGAGTTTGTTACTCTGATAAGATTATGTGTATTAGTGTATTACATACTGTTATTTGCGATATTGATTCTACATTGTTGTAAAGAATCAAGGCATGCTAAAAACAAGGTGTTATTAGTTTTAAAGAAATTAGGGGTTCAGGTAAGGGAAAATATATGTATTTTATGAGGGGTCATCCAACAATACTTTTGGAGGAAAAAGGAAACTTTTGTACTAGGGGTGTGATGGATGTGTATCATATTCACATGTCCTTTGAAAAATACAAGAATAAGGGTCACTCACGATACTTTTGGCTGGAATGAGAAATTTTTGTACTAGGATTGTGATGGATGTGTATCATATCCATATGTTCTTTGAATGTGTATCATATCCATATGTCCTTTGAAGTGTATAAGAACTCGGGTCACCCAAGAATATATTTAGGTAAAGGAAACTTTTATTCTAGGGATGTGTTGGATGCTTTGAACTTACAAGAATAGGAAGAGTTGGGGGGGGGGGGTTGGGGGGAATAAAAAGAGAGGTTAATATAAGGATCCTATGTGGATTGATTTTGGGTGAAGAAAGTTAATGGAAAACTATTTATTTAAGATGAAATGTATTGCTAAGTATTAAGTTATGTGGAATACAATTAAGTAAGATGCCTAGAGTTGATTAATTTTTAGACATTCAATACTTAGCATGTAGAATTGCATGGAGTTATTGCATGAGAGCGTAGTAGAAGAGCATAGGATTGTGTGTGTGTGGGGGGGGGGGGGGGGAGGTGGAAAGAAGGAATGGATCAAACAACAGGATTAGATGCAAATGATTCCTAGATAGAATCAGGATCTCGTTGAAATTGATGTTTTCAGAGACTTGCTTGGAAGATCTTTCATTACACATACTAATGTTAAAAGGAGCATTGGGCAATAGTTAGTCAAAGTCGTCAGCTAGTAGGTGGAACGGTTTTTATTTTAAATCATCTTATAATAATGCATTTTAGGATTGAATGTTTGAAACGTTTTGAGCTTTGAGGTTTAAAGAGTATGCATAGCATTAAATGATGCTTTTCCGAAGTGTTTAAATATTAAAGATGAAGAGAAGTGAAAAAATGGATATGAATCTTTGTCCTACAAATTTCAAGGCTAAGAAACTACTCCTTCACAAAGAAAATAGGTTCACTAAATTAACACTGATACCCATTAGTCTAGGATTCGAGGTCATCAACTGAAATAAAAAGAACAACGTTAGAGCAGCAATCTTATGAATAAAGATCTAAGAAATTTTTATGTTCTCTTAAATAGTCAAATTCTCGCTGTAATGCATCATAAATTTCACATGACACTTTAAAATTTGTTAGAAATAACTGTAAATTAGCTGTCTTTGATGCTTAGGGCCTTTTCTCTTCATATTATTTTCAGTTCAGCTTAGCTCAGCTCTAATAAGTTAAGTTCAGTTTAGTTTTTAATTTTCTTCTCTCATAAAATATTCAATTCAGCTCAGCTCAGTTCCAATAAGTTCAGTTCACCTTAGTTCAGTCAATCAGAACCAGGCCCTTAGTCTCCAAATGAGTAGCCATGAAATAAGCATGTAGCTAAGCCTACTAGAATGTGACAACCACACTTTTGCATTATGTGTACTATCCTTGAAATGTTTAAAACATAATATGTGTACTTTTACCTTTTTTTTTGGGGTTCTACGCACTTCATCTTTAGTCGATTTTTACAATTCTCCTTTGCTATTTTACCTCGCAATATCTGTACCTTTTCCATCAAGAATTTCGTTCCTTTGCTAGAACACTCAACTAATCTCGCCGTCCTTGAATTTTTCTGTTATATCAGTTTGCTACTGAAACTAAATCATTAGAACATGTTCTCATTGTTATTGAAATCATGAACCAACCATAAATTCTATGATTTTCTTCTAGCATTCTATTTTGCTAGAACACTTCACTAATCTTGATGTCCTCGAATTTTTCATTTTATTGGTGTCTTACTGAACCAAAATGAATAGCACATGTAGTTCTCTTTTGTAATGAAATTATGAACCAGCCACCATATCTATGATTTTCTTTTAGCATATGATTTTTTTTTTTTATTTTTTTTTTGTTTTATTTTCTTAGGAGGGCTTGAAACTTTTGCTTTCGATAAGAAATTTTAGGTTAGAGTTAATTTTTTCTTCAGCAGAAGCTATGTTAAGAACTTCTCAGCCTTGATTTTTACAATTTTGTCATTCAATGGGTTAAGAAATATTCCATTTGGATTGTTCAAGCTCCTTCAACACTCTTTCTTTTTTCCTTTGCACATCTTCATCTACTATTTCATGTGCTTTGTAAGGAAATTTTGATATATACACTTATGCTTGCTGAAGCTCAGAGGCTTGTCAGAGATACTCTGTATTAGATGAAAAACTTGTTTTTATAATTAAGGCCTTGTAGGTGTCTATAATATTAGAATAACAGCATAAAACCATAAATAGCCTTGTGTGTTGAATGCGGCAGTTTATTTTCTTTATACTTTCAGTGGAAACAGAAATCTAGCATCATTTTTTAGTTTTGGTGGGAGAAGGAATTGGTACACATTAGGAGATAATTTTGTTAGATAGTCATTGGCTGTATTAGGCATTCTCAAGAAAATATACAGTTTTTCATTTGGGTTGAGCCTTAATTTAACAAATTGATATCTTCCATAATACCTGTACTATGTCAACTTTCTCTTTTTGGGTTGAGCTTTTAAAGTATGTCCACTTCAAACTTGCCAAATAGCATCATGAAATTACTCAAGGAAATTATTTCGTGAACTGAACTGACTCCTCGATCAACACCCAACACATCACTTTCTCGAATTCCCTTTTGCTGCTCATACTTTCTTTCCTTCTCATCTGTCTGTGAAAAGCACTATAAGTGGTGTTTAATGGTCTTCGAGGTATATCACAGGAAAGAGATTGAGGGTGAAGCTCAAGTCCTTGCGGTCTTGGGCTTTATTTAACTTATGAAGGTTGCATTGTTCCATTCTCATGATCCTTAAAATTCTGTGTCTCTGTCGTATCATCAACCTAGTACCCATTCTGTAGTAGCTTGTAATGAAAGCTTTATGACAATCTTTTAGGTATCTACAAGGTAGAGATGGGGAGTGAAGCTCGAGTCCATATTGTCTTGGGCCTTATTAATGTCAACTTTTAGCTATGTCAACTTTTAAAGGCTGCATATTCCATTCTCTTGATTCGTTCTACATAAAATTCAGTGTCTAGTTGTCAGCCTAATATTTATCCTCTAGCAGTCTGCAGCAAATGCATTTTGACAATCTTGATCCAACTTAGTAACGAGGGTTGGAATCATTACAAATTTACAACACATGTATAATTAACATTGCATTAAGTCATAGAGTAGAACTGGAATATTGTTTCAGGACTAATTTTCTTTAGAATGAGTGATTAAGTGATTAGTTTTGCAGATATGTCCAAAATGTGATGGATTTTTAAATTAGCAATTTGCCCTACCCAAACACCAGTTTTCATCTTGATGGGGCTGCTCCTGCTTATAATCTGCTGTAGCATAATGGCCATGCTATCTGAAAAGAAAAGTGGTTGATTCTAAACATGAGCATATCAGAACATTTTGCACAATATGAACTGCGTCACTGATGCATCTGCTTTATCCAAGCCCTAGTCTTTGCTCCTTTCATTTACAGTATATGCATTAGTAATACATAATCCATAGTGTAGTTAATAATAGATATTTTGACATTGTTTGTTGTAAATTCTACTTAGCTGATTTCCTTTTATTTTGTTTTGATGATCTGTAGGTGTGGCCATGAGTTTTGTTATTCCTGTGGTGCTGAATATAGGGAAGGGCAACAAACATGTCAATGTGCTTTCTGGGATGAAGGTCGTTCCGAGGATTCTATTAGGCCTACCACCCCTGACACTGACCATTGGGCATGGACTTCATTTGATACATTTCCCATGATCCTAGATGCTTACTCTGATCAAGAGCGTTCGCAACTGGCTATCATTCAGAGATTCCTTGCTGGTGGCTTCAGCTTGAGTGATCATCGCTCTTGTCAGTTGCCACCTCCACCCTGTACAGATTCCTACATTGATGCCATGAAAGATCTCCATCAGCTTCCTTGGCTGGAGAGGTTTGTTTCTGTAATAAGTGATAATTATTATGATGACTACATTCGCTAACACCGCTATTAAGATCAATTGAGATTGTAATTCCCAAATTCGCCATTGTGGGGAAGCATTGGAGTTTTTTACTCTTTCGAATTGTTTGAACTGCAGTGTTCATAAGTGTACACTTTGAATGTAGTTTTCATTGATCATACATGTGATTGTGCCTCATCACCTGTCCACGTCTGCTTTTGTACTCCTTTGAAAATTTGCTACTTCATATAAATTATTTTCTTATGAGTTTGAAGTGCAAATCATTGGCAATACTGCATTAGAGTTTGGTAATTTCTATGTGCAATTCTTCTTCTATTTATTATTAATTGACATGTTTTGACTTACTACTACTACTCAAATAAGTTAGTTTAACTTCTCTTGAAAGTATGTACTCGGTAATAAGTAGATATAAATTTAAAGGTCCGAAGCTATCTGCGAGTTAACAGTTTTTATGTTACACCATGTGTTTTCAGCTGTTTTTGGCCCTAAAATGTCACAGATAAATAGTATTGTCTTTAATCTTTATTCATATAACTTAAAATCAGTTGAGTACTTCAATTTTAAAATACTATGTACTCGTAATATTATATGTTTAGCTGGTAAGTTTAGATAACCTCAAAGCTCATGGGCTCAAGGGCAAACCATCTTTACATTGACTAAGTAAAGTGCCGAGACAACTCACGAGCTTGGTCAAACCTCGACTCGGTCAAAGCTCGACTCGGTCAAAACTTGACTCGATTAAACTCAACTCGATATGTTAACGAGTCGAGTCGAGATATCCAAAACTCGAACTCGACTCGCATCATAAGCACCCCTGGATGTGAGTATGAATTAAAATTTAAAAGCCTCAAGCCCGTGACTAAAACAGGGAAGAGGATGTGTTTATTTGTGTGAATATAAAGTGAGCATGACTTTGGTGGAGTAACAAAATGAGCACGGGACTGATTTATTCTGCGTTATGTCTCGTCGTGACTTCACCAATTTTTTAATTTTAATTTTAATTTTTTTTTATTTTTTTTTTTATTTTTTTATTGTACTTTTATGATTCCGGGACGGTGGGGGCAACTGGGCAAGAAGGATGGTGCTACAGAGTATTTTACTTCCTAGTGTTAGTTTCATTTACACAAGTCAATACACATTTTTTATCGTATATACACATTTTTTTATCGTATATATTCTTAGTCTCACACTAGCAAAAATTGTAAGCATAAAATAATAGTATGTGTTCATCAAGACAAATCAAACATCTCATATGATAATATTTGTTCTTATATATAAAGAGAAATTTAGGATATTCTCTCTATTTTTTACTCCCTCCGTTTTTAAATACTTGCTCCACTTTTCTTTTTTCGGTCGTTTTTAAATATTTGCTTCATTTCCTTATTTGAAAAGCTTTTATAATATTTAATTCATTTCTCTTACCTAACGGACCCAATAAATCTTATTTTATTAATTTCATATTCCCTCTCCTCCAATTTTCTCCACTAAGACCATCATCACTCGTGGTATACAAATTTATAACATCCCTCTCTCTCTACCACTTTCTCACTCCTCCACATAATCTATACCACAATACAATATACTTTCTCAAAAACTATAGTATAAAAAAAGTTTTCCACCACACTTTCTCCCCCCCTATTTTTATTAATAATACACTTAATTATAATTATATTTCATTTTATTATTGGAAATACTAATTAATGTTTGTAAAGTTTATTAAATAAAATAAGCAATTTACATAGTAAAAGCGAATTCGAAAAAATATATAAAACTATATCAATATGGGTGTCTATGTGTAGATCTTGAAAAATTATGAACAATGGTAATTTTTTCATAATTTTGAACTTAATAATCTTTTCTTAAAATGCAATTGAAAAAAAAAAGATACATATAACTAGGCCACATGGCGTGACCTGGTTGGTTCATGTTTCACTGGGATCGAAGCAAATGTTTACCATGAGATGGTATATACCATCAAATGGTATACTTTTATACCACCAATGTAGTGAAAAATTGCAAGTTTTTGATGAGTTTTACACCGTGGTATAAAATTATACCACGAGTGTTGATGCTCTAATTTTACTAATTACAATTTTATATTCTTTCACCTACCCCACTACTTCCATATTTTAATACTTTCTCCAATTTTTCCTAAAACTCTGCGCATGGAGAAATGGAGCAAGTATTTAAAAACTGAAGGAGTAATAGTCAAAAGATTAAAAATAAGACTAAAATTACGAAATGGAGAGAGTAATAATTACTCTTTCGTTTTTTAATACAACGACACTTTGATATGTTCGGAATTTTTGGTTGTCGTGTTGAATTTGATAAAAGATTGTGTAAGTGAGACTTATATAAATTAAAAGTTATAAAATATAGGGAAAATTAGATTTAATAATCCCAACTTTCATAAGTTTTGCTATAATAATCCAAACTTTGAATTATTCTGGAATAATCTGAACTTTGGGGGCATTCTTTTTTACCAATCCCAAATTGGTCAACAAAAGTCAATGACCTATTATATCAGGTCACTTGACATGTGCCAAGCCCTGATTGGTCCATAAAAAAACCCAAACATCAGCAACCACCAGTCAACCTCCCCTTCCTCGACCGGCCACCCTAACCACCACCTCACTGCTAGCTTACAACCCCTTTATCGTTAGGCCAGCCGTGTAAACCAACCTCCACCGTCGTCGTCTTCCTCCCTCCCCAAAACACCCCCATTCCCCCCGAATCCACCACCCCGAAACCCAAATCCACAAACAAAACCCTTTCCCACTGCCAAAAACACCCAATTGTTCGTCCCCAACACCTTAAAACCCTAAGCGGCTAGGGTTTTTGACACTGGGGAGGAGTTTTTGGGGGGTTTTCGGGAGTGGGAGAGATGGATTTAAGCTGCAATTTGAGCGGAGGAGATTAGGGGAAAAGGAGAAACGACGAGTGGGGAGGGAGAAACTAGCGCAAGGGGAGGGGGAAGGGGAAACCAGCACAATAGGAGGGGAATTATGCCGTCGTTTAGGGTTAAACTGGTGGTATTTGGGGTTGGCTGGTGGTTTTCGGGGGAGTTGGCTGGTGGTTGGGATTTTGGGGTTTGGTCCTTTTTTTTTTTATTATTTATAATTTTTTTTTATAAATTGTTTTAGTCGGTTCAGTTGTGACATGTGTCACTTTAAAAAAAAAAATTAACCCATTCAACTTGTTACCGGTTTTTAGGATTGAAAAAAAAGGAACCCCCAAAGTTTCGGATTATTCCAGAATAATTCAAAGTTGAGATTATTGTAGCAAAATTGATGAAAGTTGAGATTATTATTTCTAGTTTTTCCTAAAATATAGTGTAACTTTTTGGAGAGAAATGTTCAATATGTTCTATCCGATAATTACTTTAGTATATAATATAGATATAGATTATGCTAAATTTTTTTAAAAATAAAATCTTGTAAAAACCAAAATAAATATGAAAACATGCTTAAAATAGTGAGAAATAAACAGTAAAAAACAATATAATTAGAAAATAACTATAGAAGATTGTATTATTATAAGTAATTCTTTATATGTATGGTCCCATTGTTTAAAGGGAAATGAATAGGAGTATTCTTGAAGAAAGTCGGTGGTTGAGGGAGGTGGGAAAATATTTGAACCCTTGAGGCCTTGATATGTAAATCTCAAAAATAGCTCCTAAGAGTGCTAAGTCATAAGTATACTTTACCCCACTCACATTGTCAGACATAAATCATTTATTATCCGCTCCATTTTTTGCAGGTTCAAACTTAATTAAGATCATTCAACTTTTATCTATTTATTTACTACTAGTATATATTAAATTGTATAAATGTGGTCAATTTGGTAGATTAGAAACTAGAAAGTGTGATAAAGATGCAAGGAGAAACTGTTTTGGTAAATGTGGAATGCTTAAGAGGCAGATTACAAGCTGAAAGAGCTGCTTCTAGAGCTGCTGAACAAAATGTTGATCTGTTGGCTACGAAGGTATGTGTCCAACTGTTAGACTCGGCTATTTTAAAACATTCCATGATTTACTTTTTTCATGAGTTTGGTGAAATGTCTATCTATATCCATGCCGGGATATTAGAATCTGACACGGATATTTGAGGTGAAATAAAAAGTCGATGTTAATTTAGCCTCCTGCCCTTTCTTTGATTTAATAAAACTTATTCACTTTGTTTTTCCTAATGTTTGTTGCAATTTGTGATTCAGTTAAGTGAGCTAGAGAAACAGCTAAAGATTGAAACAAAGTATAGAAGAAAAGCAGAAAAGAAGCTGAATATCCTAATAAAGAAGCTTGAATCTTTGAACATTCCTAAGAACAACGTTATTTCAGGGGAATATAAGCGATTAGGTTCATCAAACAATTCTGAAATTTCGTGTTTGTCATCAATCACCTCTACAAGCTTTAGTCATCAAGAAAATCATCTTCCAGTGTTTCGAGGATCGAAATCGAGCTCGATTTGTAGTGAAATTGCTGAGGAAAATACAGAATCTGATATTAGTGTGAAACAAAAACGCCAAGATGTTATCAAATGTGAGCGAAACCAAATTGATCACACTATTGGGAGACAAGAAATGGACGAAAATTGTCACGGGTGAGTGGCATTTTTTATTTTTTTTTAATAATAATTTCATATTAGCTGATTAATAATCCTTATTATTTACTCGGATTTATTTTATAGTTTTTGCTCCATTTGTTTCAAAATAAATTTCTCCATTTTTATAGCTTTCACGGATGACATTGGTGCTTAATACATAGATCAAACATAGTTACTTCGTCAATAAATCTATTTCAATAAATTTTTTTGAATTTTTTTTTATAATTATTGATAATTAAATACATTTTATTCTAATAAATACCGTACTCCAAAGGAAATTTTAATGAAGTAGAGGGAGTGTTTTGGAGTGAAGTATAGAAAATGCCAAATTTTGGTGCATGTGAGAAACATATGAATAATGATTTAATTTAAACATTGGACATTGGTATACGATTTAAACTCTACATTCTCTGTTTTTATAGATTTGTCAGGTTGATTAAGGCTAATTTAAAAGGGGTAAAAGACATAGGTTGCTTAATGTTGTCGTTTTTCTTTGTTAAATTAATTGTTGCCTTGAAAGAGGACAACTAGATTTCATTAATAAAAGTAGAATCCGACAATAACAAAGACAATGCAAGCAGGGATATTATTTGCCCAAACTCTCCTGCCAAATCACTAGGCATGGCAAAACAAATCTAACCTGAAATTCCCAACCCAAATGACCCGACCCAAGTATAGTTACCCTAAATCAAACCAAAACCCAATTTGGCCCAGCATGAAAAGTCCAAACTCAAATTGACCCAAAACTAATTTAATTTAACCCTAACCTGACCCAAACCATATCTAAATAATAACTTTGTTAAAGGATCGTATCAACAAAAATTAAACTGATGGTTGAAAGTTGAAACCCAAAACCGATTTATATACACCATCACACATTCAAACCCCCTCAAATGAGAGCATACTGGGCTTGAAATGTGAATGCAGCTTAGGACCCCTATACAGTTATACCCAGTGCGAAATAAATTCAATTTGAAAGAAGGGGTGGATGAGATTTAAACCTTTAACCTTTTATTGTCACGCTGCCTCTGATACCATGTCAAAATAAGTGAAAATATTTAATTGTATACTGACCCTAAATAAACATAATGAAAGTTACAAAACCACACATGAATTTTAACTGGATCCAACCAAAAGTAAGACGTATCAAGTTAACTCGAGTCGAATCAAAACATGACCTAAACAACCCAATTTCTAACCCTGCCAATCACCCATGAATAACAATGAATAATTTGTTGTATTTTATTTAAGTCTAAACTGTATGGGTAGTTTGGCATACGGAGATGAAGTTTGTGGATTAAAAGATGGAAATGTGAATGGAAATTAGAAATTCATTAAAAAAAAATTAAAAATAATGATGTTGAAGATAGACTGAGAATATACAATAAATTTACAAACTTTTGCTTACTAGCTAGTAAATATCATCCTCTTCTTATTTACGAAGTATAAAGAAAAAATGTGAAATTTTTAATATACATCGGGTTTACCGTGCACCAAACTAACCCAAAGTTAGTTTTGCTATTCATTTGATTATTAAATGAATAACAATCATAAAAATGAGAATAATAAATTCTTGGGTGATCCGTGTACACATTAAAAAATTTACAAACTTTCTCTTACTAGCAAACTATGTGAAGTTAGATTAGAAAACCCATTTCCATAAAGTTTTACTTATATGTTGGTGAGAAACTATGGACAAAATTATTATTTTTGTTTGGAAAAACAATTTGTGGCATTTATTTTGACATAGCAAAGAGTAATTAGTTATTCATTTATTCCCTAAATACGAGGAAGCCCCAGTTAATCAATTTGATAAACAAAATTTGTTTATCAAATGGCAAAATGGTAAATAAAACAACATAAATGCCCAATCATCATGGCATCTTCGTAAATATATCAACAATAGTGGGACCCAAATTTACTAAAAAGTTGTTGATTTATTTACAATTTTGCCATTTGATAAACAAATTTTGTTTATCATATTGATAAACTTGGATTTTCTCCACTAAATACTACATCATTTGTGGGTTTAACATTATGAACACACGATCATCTTTAATTATATATTGTGATTTATATATATGCAAGGAAGTCATCTAAAATGTTGTTTGATGCATTTCATTTCATAACATCAACTTTTTTTTATTTTATTTTTTTACTTTTATATTTCCAAATCTCTCAGATTGAAGCAATTATCGTTGGAGAAAAGCAATGATGATGAGATTGACGGCAATCAAGATAAACATTTCGTTGATAATTCATTGGCATTGGTTCCCATGAGCCCCGTTGTAGAACTAAACACTTCTTCCAAAGGGCCATTAGAAGTTAATAGTGAAAATGTCAAAGAAGTCCTTCATACATTAAAGCAAATTAGAGAAAATATTCAAAGCTCCATTAGAGGTCAAGGGGCATTATTAAAAGTTGGTTAATGTTTTTGTAAGTATAATTTTCTTTATTTTCTTCAATTTATATATCAATTTCTGTAATTTTAGATGATAATAATGGAAATTCTTACTTTGTTTTTTCTTAGCAATATTGGAAAATAGGTTGTAATAATTACAAGTGTACAACTTTGGTTGAATAATCTCAACTTTCAATTATTACTAGTTTTGTGCCCCGTGCGATACCCGGGTTGTTTATAGACTTTTGATAAAATTATTTTATATTCAATTTTGATTGAAAATAGAATTCTAAATTAACTTTTTTTTGCTACAAAGTCTATCTATATTTATCCAACGTGGTACAACACTTGGCGAAAAGTTAAAACGCTAAATGATGTTGGTATTTTATCGAAATTAAAATTCTAATCAAGAATCTTATTCTAAAATTCTATCCTAATTTGATTGAAAATGGAATTTTTAACTAACGTTTTTATCTTATAAAGTCTATCTAAATCTATCCAAGGTGGCGCGACACTTTGACTATTTTTATCTTATGAAGTTTATTTAATCTACCCAACGTGGCGCGACACTTGGCGAAAAGTTAGAACGCCAAGTATCGTTGCCTCGTGACCTGGCTAAAAGTTTAGCTTTATATATTAGTTATATGATATGGAATAATTTAAACTTTAGAGTGCCTTTTTTATTTTTATTTTTTCACACAATCCCAATAACCGATAACCTATTGAATGAAATATTATACACACATGGGTATGCCGTGCACCCAACTAACGCAAAGTTAGTTTTTGCTTTTCATTTGATGATTAAATAAAAATAATCACTAAAATGAGAACAAATCCATGGGTGTACCACACACCTGGGTATATATATAACAATCTCTCTTTCAAAAGAGTTATGAAATAAACTATCTAGTAGGCATGTAATAACTAATAATAATGTTAGTGGAAATGTTCGATTTAATACATTAAAAAAAAATTAGCAAAAAATAAATTAATTAAAATAAATGTTCAAAACTCGTAGGTTGCCCTGAACCCAAAACTTTAGGCAAGGGTTGAACTTTTTTGACTCGTAACCTGAACTGACCCAATCCGAGATGACTCATGATCCGACTCTAATTGACAGATCTATATAGTAATAAAATTCTTATTAGATTGTGAAGTATATTATTTTAACCGATTAGTATATACTACGCATTATAAATGTATGTTTTACGCTCTGAACATTTCTTTTACTCCAAAAAAATTTTATGATATAAAAAATAAATTTATACGATAATTTTTTAAAATCATAATCTAATAATTTTTTTAATAAAATTATAATTCAATTTGATATTGGTATTTTATCGAAAATAAAACTCTAAATAAACTAACTTTTTTTTTTATCTTATATAGTCTATTTAAATCTATTCTACATGGCGTGACACTTGGCGAAAAGTTTAAACGCCAAGTGTCGCTGCCTCGTGATCTGACTAAGATTTTAATATTGTTATTTATCATGTCACCAAATGTATTTTTTTTTTTAAAAAGTCCCCACATATATTACTATGTATTAATAATTAACAATTACTAAAAATTAAGTTCAAGCTAAAATTAAATACTGGGTAAAGATTAAGAAAACATGACAATAATAATATTAACTATCATTTATTCAAAAGATAATATTAATTATTTGTAGGCGTCGTTTGAAGTGCGCCTACGTTAAAGCATGTTGTGAATATGCTTGACACTCTTAGGAAGTGGGAATTGACATATACGATTAGGGACAAGGAAAGTAGGGAGCCGCCAACAAGTTTTTAAGGAACTTGTAAACTGTTCACGGATCATAAAAGGCAACCACGAATAAAGGGACAACGAAAGACAACAACGATTGACCCGTGAAGGTTACACCCCATTCATAATCCATGAGATTACTAACTCCATATGGTTCGGAACCACGAAAGGAGGATCGGGGATGATGGTACGAAGTGAGTCATGGAGTCACATTCGCCCGTATTGGCCTCTACTCGATTCTTATAGTGAAAAGTGATTCATGCGATCTCAAAGGCATGCAAACAAAAATTCAATTTGCTCCAATCTATTATTAAGCTAAATTGGTTGAATATTAATGCAACATATAATTCTAAAATATTTGTGATCACTTTAATTAAAAACAAGATTAAAAAGGATCTTAAACCGGTTGTCCAAATTATCTTATTAGGCGTGATTTTCAATTACATATTCCCTTTAATATGGTGATCATAAAAAATATAATAAAATAAAAATTAATATTGGAAGTAATTGAACAATAATAGCGTTAGTCAAATAAAATATAAAATGACCTAATCATGATACTAGAAATATTAAAATAAAATAAGAGTAATTAAATTAATTAATTACTCACATTCCGCATGTTCCTTTAAATTGCTACATCATGAATAAACTGTTAGTAACTTCAAGTAAAATATAAATCAAATTGAAACAATTAAATTAAATAAAAATTAGAGTTGATTTAGTTCAAACCCTCAGTCAATTATACCTTTCACGCCTTGGTTTAAGTATAGAACTTTGGGTATTACATGGACTCCTTGGAGTGCTTAATTAGGGGAAGTATTTTGAGAAAATAGGATGGCTAGTATTTAGGCAAAAGAGGGAGAAGAGAATTATTTTATGATCAAGATTGTTGATGATTGGAAAAGGGGTGATATGACCTCTATTTATAGAGAAAAAAAGAAGGGTCGAAAAAACAAGATAAGATCCGAATTAAATCGGAATAAAACTCGATAGACTGCAGTTTTGACGGTTATTGTTTTTATCATATCTTTTTATCCAGAAATCGGAATAAGATGAGTAAGATATCGTTGGAAAGATCTTGAAGACTAATTTCTAACCCAATTAGAATCAGATTAAAATATTTTATATAATAAAAGATATGGCCGAAATAGTGAGACGGTGTCAGTTTTGGATAGAGTTTGACATTTTATTCATATCTTTTCCGTTATAGCTCGGAATTGATATTATAATATATCATTGGAAAGATAATTTCAAGTGCTATCCAACCATATAAAATTTGGATAAAAAATATGTGGCAAGAAACTAATATCTGTGTATTTTTGAACGTCTTTCAATTCGGATAGAAATAGGATTTTCAAAAAGAAAAGTTTTATTCAATTTCAAATTATTTAATCTTATCTTTTAAAAAAGGATAATTAAGATCTTTTAGAAACTTATAGAAGTTTCTAATTAATCCTAACTGGTTTAGGAATTGGGTTAAATCATTTAGACCCTCCACATGATCATTGGGTCGTAGGTAAGGTGGGCTTATGTTCGGTTTGGGCTCAGTTTAATATTTTGGCCATAACTTATTCGTTATAACTCGTATTTGGGCTTATAATATATCGTTGTAAAGCTCTTTTAAAGCCCCATCCAACTATTCAATCATTGGACCCAGGTTATGGACCAAAATAAACTGGAATAAATGTTTTTATAAAAAGGACACGAAATGAATGATTTTAAAGGACACGAAATGAATTATTTTGGGTTTAAAGGCACGAAAAGAGGAAAATAAGTTGTGGTTTGGGAAAATGGGCTAGAATTTGGGTTGTTTTATGAAATGGAAATATGGATTTAAGCACTCCAAGATTAAATACTCAACCCGACCAATAATGGCGGTGAAAGGTTGTTCAACATCGGGTTTGGTTTTGGGGAGACATTTTTAGGTGTCTACAGTATTGGTTTATATTAGGAAAGATGAATATTGTGAATATTCTTAGAATATTTTATGGGAATATTTTGTGAATATCTTTAGGTTATTTGGCCTTGCCCTCCAAGTTTCCTAGCTTATATATAATTGTATGTGGCCGTTTATGGTGAATGAGAATTACAATGAATATTATTCAATATATTTTAGCATGGTATCAAGAGCCTTGTGAGATCCAATTTTTTCTCTAAATCGTTGTTTTTCATAAACATCATTTGTGAATGTGAATTGTTTTCGTGAGTTTCAAATCAATCAATTTTTTTTCCCTTTGTGCGTGAGAGATGACAGGAGGGGATGGAGGAAAATCAAAGATCGACTTGACCTTTCACCTAGGTTCGAGTGACGGGCCAGGTAACGTTATCACCCCTATTCAATTAAAGGGTGATAATTATGATGAGTGGGCTAGGGCTGTGAGCACGACTCTAAAGGCTAAGAGAAAGTTCAGTTTTATCGATGGCATGATTGCGAAACCGACTGAATCAGAGAAGCTTGAGGATTGGGTGGTCGTTCATTCTATGTTGGTTTCTTGGTTGTCAAATACCTTGGATCCGATTGTAAGGTCAACAATTGGGGATTATGATGATGCTTGCTTGAAGAACAGATTTTGCGTGGTCAGTGGCACTCGTGCGTGTCAAATGAAGCGTTCGTTGGGTGAGTGCAAGCAAAATTCAATCGAGGCAATGGCTGTGTACTTTGGTAGTTTGTCAAAAATTTGGGATGAACTGACATCTTATGTGCCTGTCCCAAAGTGCTCGTGTGGTGCGTGCAAGTGCAACATTGTGGCTCAAGTTGAGAAGATCAGAGAAGAGGATTATGTACATCACTTTCTCATCGGCTTAGATGATGCATATGCATCGATTCGAGGCCAACTCTTGGCGCAAGAACCTCTGCCTAGTGTGGACAGAGCCTATCAGCAGCTTGTTCAAGCTGAGCAGCTGCGTGGGGGGGGGGGGGACACAACTTGTGAGAATGATGTAGCCTTCAAACTTCAGTACGAACCGAAGGGTAAAGCTCGTGACAATTCTGACAAATTTTGTTAACATTGCAATCGTGAAGGACATGAAGAGGCAACCTATTTTCAATTGCACGGGTTTCTAGATTGGTGGGGTAACAGGCCTCGAGGAGGCCGTGGCCCAGGCTGTTGTGGGTCTGCTACTGCAGGCCGTGGTGGACGTGCAGGAGGGCGAGGCAGAGGAACCAACTCCTCTGTGCGTGCGAATAAAACTGGTGGGCAGGCTGTTTCACAGAACAGCAGCTCTGCTCCTAATTCGAGTGATGCAGTAGCTCTTGCAGGGGTTTTGGCAGCTCAAATTCAGCAACTCCTTGACCATCTAAATTCTCTTAAACCCAAATTGCTCGGTAAGCATGACTTGGGTCGGATAATTGATATCGGAGCCTCGAATCATGTGACTTGTGATCTCTCTTATTTGACGAATGTGACGAATGTGACTCATTGTCCGGTGGGATTGCCGGATGGAACTTATGCTAAGGC